CTAAGCCTGCAAGTGATAACAGAGCTGAAGAAGTTTCTTTTGGAGTTGAACAAACAGATGGTCTTCAGATCAATTCTTCTCCTAGTGTATTTGAGACTATTTCAGAGGACTTAGTTGCAAATGCTGAGAGTGGCAAACAGAAAGAGATCGGTTCTTCTAAATCGGAAACCAATATACAAGTGAAAGAAAGTGTTAATGAGGTTGAATCCTCCACAGAATCTGTAGTCCTTCTTAGTAAGTCTCCAGATGAAGCATCTCTAAGTAAATCTAAGTTAGATGTTGCAGAAGGAAGTTCTGGTTGTGTGGTAGTGGAATCAAAGGAACACGAAGCAGACAGAAAAGTTTCAGATACTGTGACCATGGAACCTAAGTTGCATGAGGCCAATGGAAGTATATCACATGCTGCAGCAGTCAAAGAAATTGTTGAACAGGAGAAAGAGCCGAGTAACAAGTCGGAAGCTAGGATGACAAGTGTTTCCACCGTAAATGAAATTATTGAACAGGAGAAAGGGTTGTCTAATGTGTTACAGGCTGAGATGACCAAAGTTGATCTCCCCTCTCAAACTGAGCCTCATAAATGCGCTGATACTTCAGTTACTACTCAAGCTGAAGCTGATTCTGATACAATACGAGTTGGTCATGATGAGTTGGCTAAGGTTTGTGATTTGAAGGAAGGAGGGGATAAAGAGGTGCATGTAGTATCAGTTGCTGAAACTTTACCTGCGGTAGAAAATCCTGAGATCATGATTGGAGATTTTAAAGACTACAAAGTTTTAAGATCCAGTTTTCCTGTGGATCTAGGGGATGCTGAAGTTACTAGGTCTGGGGAAGATGATAACAAAGTCAACCTGCCTGAGTCTGTCCCGAGTCCCAGTTCAAGCGTCCCTGTTGGAAGGTTGCACACCTCTAATTTAAATTCTAGTTGTTCAGAAGCTAGTCTTGAGAAAGAAGGCCTTTTAACACCTGTTCAAGGGGAAGTTGATACTTCTGGGTTAAGGGGGATCAGTGAAGAAGGCTCTGGAAGTAATGGCCTGGAAGGTTCTTCAGTGAATTCTGGTTTTGAAAAACAGGTTATTGAAGGATGTCAACCTAAACCGACTGATAAAGAATCATCGCAAGATGGAGTTCCAGCACCAAGCTCAATTGAACATTCTGATGTGATGCGTGCTGTGTCGTCCATTGATGAAGAATTCAGCAGTCAAACAACCAAATTAAGTAACTTTGAAACTGCTGATGATAATGTAAACTTGAAAAGTGATCATGTGAGGTCAGAAAATGGAACAGATCACCTGTTGGACGAAGATAATATTTCGAGTTCTAAAAAATGCACAATTGAAGTTGATGTGGAAACCTCACAAGGAACTGAAACAGGTAGGAGCACTGAAGTACAAAGGTCTGAAGGTGTATTTGTTGTGGATCCTGATTTAATTCCTGAAGGCCATAGTGTAGCATCAGGTGAACAATCAGAAAATCCTAAGGAGATGGAAACACAAATTTCCAGTTCAGATTCTCAATTAAAACCTGAAGATCATGGTGGAGCATCTGACAAAAAATCAGAAGATTATAAGGAGGCAGCAGGTTTGCCTGTAGCTTCTACGGTCTCAAGCCAAAGTTCTGCTACTGTTGAAGACAAAATTACCAATGATGCAGTCACTTCTGAAATAGGTAAGAGCACTGAAGTACAAAGGTCTGAAGATGTATTTGTCGTGGATCCTGATTTAAGTCCTGACGGCCACAGTGTAGCATCAGGTGAACAATCAGAAAATCCTGAGGAGATGGAAACACAAAGTTCCAGTTCAGTTTCTCAATTAAAACCTGAAGATCATGGTGGAGCATATGACAAAAAATTAGAAGATTATAAGGAGGCGGCGGCTTTACCTGTAGCTTCCACAATATCAAGCCAAAGTTCTGCTACTGTTGAAGACAAAATTACCAATGATGCAGTCATTTCTCAGCCCTTGCTAGATGGAGACAATGGCAAGCTCACAAAAGAAAGTGTACACGTTTCTGCGGTTGATGACTCCGTTGTTTCAAGCAGCCGAACTGAGAGTTTGGATGGGAACTGGGGATCAGTATCAGGTGCAATTCCCTTGCGATAACAAAATAATCATTTAATTGCAATCTCTGTTCTAGTTGGTGCCACATGGCTTTTTGTTTTTGATTTTTAGCTTAATTGTTAAGTTTCCGTTTATTTCACTTGCAAAGTGCATCGATATTGAGTAAATATGTTAACATGAGTGCAAGTATCAGAATGGCATCCATGTATATGTGTCGAGCATGCAGAGGCTTGGTAGTCAATTCCTGAAGTCGGAAGTGTGTAGTTCATGGTATATGTGCCTGGCTCTTCCTCTCATGCTGTTTGGAATGTTGACCCTCATTATGATGCTTAGCAAGATTGCATACGTTTTTCATGTTTTGTTTTTGCTGATTAAACAAAAGCTTACTTCTTGGTGGATGAAACAGTACTTTCTACCCAGTCAGATGGGGCAGCTCTTGCGGATGCTGAAACACTATCTTCAGCTGGTAATCAGGGACCAGAGAAATCTGGGGTCACGTCATTAAAGCTGCAAACTCCGTCTCAGGATAGCCATCCTGACAAGTCAGATGCTTTTGAGCCTCCATCTTTCATGACATTGGTTGAATCTCGGGTCGAGGATGACAAGAAAGTTGTGGCCACAGAAACACATAATATCCAGAAGACTGAACAGCCAAATTCTGAAGCTTTACAGGCTGGCTGGTTTCCATCTCTAACCAATGTCGTTAATGAATCAGAAGGCAGAAAGAAAAATGAAGAGATTATTGCCAAGGTAACAAACTGGAATGCAGGGAAGCAGCACAGTCCGTTGAAAAATCTTCTGAACGAAGCTCAAGCTGAAACAAAGGTAAAATCAGCTGACCAGAAACAAGTTCCTTCTGTGAATCAGGGCAACGAGACTGTCTCGAAGAACAATGGTGCTGCAGTGACTACTGTTGGCTCAATTATGGGATCAGAAACGCCAGTTGACAATGCTGCCAAGAGGGACATGGAGAAGGAATGGAATTCCCCAGCAAGATACCCAGTTGAGATCAAGAAAGAAAAAAAGAAGGGAAAACCATATTGGGTACCATTTGTGTGCTGCACTTCCATACACCAAGACGTGTAAACCTTTGGTCTCGCGTTGACCCCAAGACATCATCTTGGAGGCACTTCGATCATTTTCTTTTTTCGATCACTTTGAACATGAAATCCTTTGTACCTATTGACTAAACTACGGGATTACTGCTTTAGCATAAAACTGGCTCTTGTAGAATCTAGATAAGGTGTCTCTTGTTACGAACATATATTGCTATCAGCTGCTTTTGTGTGTGTGTATATAGCTATAGCATTCCTGTGTTTGAAAGCATAGGTGAGTTACACGATAATTTCCTGAAAGCTCTTTGACTCCTTTAAGTTCAATTCCCCTAAATTCGATGCTTATTTTGTCAATGTTATGGTGGAGTTTAATTAGTCTGATCTGGATTTTGCCAGCATCTTAGGAATGCTGAGAGATTGAGATGCAAATTAAATCATTCTTACCTCCCCTTTGCCTCCATATGCTGTACAAGAAAGTGCTAACTGATAAATAAGCAGACGTTACTTGGGGTGACTTAGCCTCCTGGCAGATGATTGGGGATGATTTGACAGAACTTAATCAAGCCTAAATCTTAAATAAGCAAGCAAGAGATGCAGTTTCTTAGCATCCTCCTCCGTTTATAGTGCACATTAATCCTAGTGTTTTTAAATCTACTATATTACTATACACTATAGAAACAAAACAAAAATGCAATCACTACAAGAAAATGTCTCAATCGTGACATAAATGATTGGATTAAGGCATGAATAAGCTACCACATAAGTACATTTGCGTGTCTAATGAGACATCAGATAATTCTCCAATTTGGCATATACAAGTTATCTGCTGTCCCAATATTACATTTAAGGGAAATTCTGCAATGTGGTATACCATGTTTGTGGAACCAACTACTCGAGTAGTTGGTCACCAGAGAAAGTTTTAAAGCTCTTCTTGATGCAGATCAAGGAATTGACCTGCATTCACGTCCAAGATTTTTTGAAAATTTCACTTGCACCTGTCTGGTTTGATGGTGGTTCAGTTCTCTCCGATTTTTCCATTGATCCCCTTGGGTCCACCTCTTCCCTTTAGTGTAGAGTAGGAGTAGGTGTAGAATATAATTTTTCATGTCCGAAAAAAAAAGAAAAAAAAGTATACCACGTTTGTGATGCCGGTAGAAACAAGAGTGTAAAAAAAAAAAAAGAAAAAAAATCCTGAGATACTATAAATATGGTATGCCACATGGTAGATGATCCCTTTCATTTAATCTCTCAATTGTAAATTCTTGTGCCCAAATTCTGATATATTCTGGAGATGTCGCATAATGCCTTCAAATTAATTGGTTTGATCATCATATCTTTACCTACACTTGATATAGAGCATTGCCATAATGGCTTTCTAATTTTTATGGGAACATAGGAACTGCTACAAGTTTGGTTGCAGAATCTGAGTATATCTACTGAATAGACAGTTTGAAGTACCTTCTCATATGGGCGTATAATTGCAGGTATCATTGCAAGACTTTCATTTAAAAGGTTGAGGTCTTATCCTGACATACATAGAAGGAAATAAGGCCTCTTTAGTTCCATTACTCTCTAATCGTATAAATTGATAGAATTTCGATATAAATTGACACAATAAACATGAGTTATAATTGAATTGGTGTAAATTCACGATTATACAAAAAATATCTTAGTTTATATCGAAATTATATCAATTTATACAATTGAACGGAATCTCAACTGAAAAGGCTCAAAAAAATATTTGTGTGATACTGTTCTAATTCGTCCTTAACCCTTTTGTAATCAACGTTTAGCAGGGTCAGGACCACTTTCTTTTGTTTTTAGAAATTTATTAGAAGTTTGGTTAACAAATCACTTGTAAATATACCATTACTTTCTCCTATTTCTACCCAGAAAAAAAAAATTCATTGCCATATTTACATACCATCTCCACTTCCCGCTTACAATGGCAGAGTCCTATTGAGAGTATTATTCCCAGCCAAATGACTTGGGCGCCACCTACTACTTACCATCAACTCCATAAGCCCTTCACAGCTTTCTTGAGCCCCTGCAAAACCCCAGCCTTGCACCTCCTAATTTCTTGTTCCTCTACTGAATCTTGTAACCGGGATAATAAGGGCCATTTTCACTCTCCATCCCGTTCACAACAGTCATTCCAGAAAATCAAAAAGAATCATTCTTTACAGCCAAAACGGTTACACCAGAGGCATAGAGGAGATTCTTTTGTTGAATGGGTTAAAAAGAAAAAGCAGTCTGACCCAACTGATATTCTTCAGCAAGATGGAGATTGGAGCAAAGAACAATTCTGGGATTTCATCAGATTCCTTAGAGAAAGTTCAAGGACCAGTGAGATTCTTCAGGTACTACCTCTCCTATCTGTTGGAGTCATCCAAATCTCTTTATTAAACTTTGGTTAAATGGTCTTTGGGTTTGCTGATACTTTGTGGGTATTGGCTCTTGGGAATTTGCTGGGATAAGTTCTTTGGTTGTTGTGTGAAAAGCTCAGTTTGATTGTGGTTTATTTTTTCCCCAGTGAAAAAATATGGTTGATTTTTTTGCCTTTTTTGGGGTGGTTTGGGGCGGTTGGGGGGGTGCTGTTGCTGTCTTTATTTTCATTGTCCATCATGCATAAGTGGTTTCTGAAGTTAGAAAATAGAAGACAGAGTTGATATGAAGGACGTATAGTTGTCATTTATGTCTTTGTATATTATAAATATGTTGTAGGCGTTTGACCTGTGGAAGGACGTGGAAAAATCCAGAATTAATGAGGAGAACTATGTGAAGATTATAAGCTTATTGTTTGAGGATGGACTGACAGATGCAGCGATATTGGCGCTCAAACAAATGGAGAGCCATGGAATTAGGCCTTCTCTGGAAATGTACAATGTAGTGATTCATGGGTTTGCAAGAGCAGGACGGTTTGAGGATGCTGTGTTTTATCTCGAGGAGATGATGAACGCTGGCTTAAAGCCTGATACAGAAACCTATGATGGGCTTATTCAATCCTATGGGAAGTATGGAATGTATGATGAGATGGGTAGATGCCTGAGAGAGATGGAATCCGGTGGGTGTTTACCTGATTATGTAACTTACAACTTGCTGATTCGAGAGTTTGCAAAAGCTGGATTGCTCAACAAGATGGAAAGCACTTATAGTGCTCTTCTTGCAAAAAGAATGGATCTGCAGAACTCTACTTTAGTTGCAATGCTGGAAGCATATGCCAACTTTGGAATTTTGGACAAGATGGAAAAGGTTTTCAGAAGAGTTTTAAACTCAAAAGCTTATCTAAAGGATGATTTGATTCGTAGATTAGCCAGAGTCTATATTGAGAAACTTATGTTTTCCAGATTAGAGGACTTGGGACTTGATTTATCTTCTAGAACTGGCAGCACTGATCTTGTGTGGTGTTTGCGCCTCCTTTCTCATGCTTGTACTTTGAGCAAAAAAGGAATGTATTTCATTATTCAGGAGATGGAATCCAGTGAAGTGCCATGGAATGTAACAACTGCTAATATAATGGCATTAGCCTATTTGAAGATGAAGGACTTTACGCACTTGGAAATTTTACTCTCTGAATTACCATCTCGATATGTAAAACCGGACATTGTTACTGTTGGAGTACTTTTTGATGCCATCATTTCTGGGTTTCGGGGCAATCCAGTAAAAAGATTATGGACAAAAACAGGATTTTTTGATGATACTGTTGAAATGAACACAGATGCTCTTGTTCTGATTGCATTTGGAAAGGGGAAGTTCCTGAAAGATTTTGAAGAGATGTTCCCCTTATTTGAGGCCAAAACTAGAAATGGGATGTGGACTTACCGCCATCTCATAGATTCTGTCAAGACTCGGTTTGTGGGTGGTTGAACAATTTAAGCTAAAGGAATTTGAAGTATAATGAGAGCCTTGATGAAATGGAGCATATTTGTTGTCATGTTGATGGACATCTTGAAGGACTCTCTGTAAAGTAGATAAGAAGAGAGGATCAGAGTTACACTTGACATATGGGTGGTTAAACAAATTGAAGCTTAGATCAAATCTATATACGAAATGCAAGAAAGTTGTTGGCATCTTGATGGGTTCTCTACATGGTACATAGGAACTGTATTAGAGAACATGAATTTTGGGCCATCGGAAACTTGTGATAGTCAAAGATTCTGCTTTAAATTCATTTGCCTAACCTCCAAAGACAGCATTCTAGTTGCATCTGTAACTCAAGGACATCGATATTTTTTTGTTTGAACTGAGTGTCAAATGATAAATATTAAGATGCATTCTCAGATGAACTTGATAAACTGAGTGAATTGTTTGTTTTCTGCTCGCTGTCTTGAAATACAAGGTTCTTCAATCGCATGGAGGCTGCCAACATTTATAGTTTCTATTTACGTGCTTCTGGTATTGAAGAAGAGACTGCAGATAAATCACCCTTAGCAATAAAGATGATAAGAGTATACTGACAAAGCTTCCATGTCTTTCAGAATACAGAAGCTGCATTGGAATTTCTTACAGGAAGTCTTAGTGGGAAGAGGGTGGGCCAGGTAAGGGGGTTAGTTAAGAAAGAAATGTTGATTAGCGGAAAGGTTTGAATCGGGGGAAGGTTTTGCCTTGAAGATCCTTCAATATGTGTCATCTTCTTCAGCTGTTTATTCTTGGTTTCCAGACCATAGGTTGTGATGGTAAGGAGCTTCCCCTCGGTTATAGCTACACGAGTTCCCTGGAAATTCCAAGGTGAAACATGAATTTGTATGTTTTATAAACTTTCTCAAAATCTTTCTTAGTGTAGGTTCAACAAGTCCTTATGATTTCAATGGATAAAGTCAAATAAAAAGGAATAGAATGGAAAATACGATGAGCATATGCCCTTTTCCCCTCATCTTGGCTTGTAAATTATTTCTGGTCTTGGTGTGTGTTCTTTAGGTTCAAAATTTTCTGCTGTAGAGTACCGAAAGATCATAGTCTTGGTGCACATTGTCTTTTCCTTCCAATTTCCACTGAGAAAATTGATTGCCAGTCCAAACTGGATGCACTCTTGGTGATCTAGTGGAGTAAATACTAGCCAAGAATAGAAGACAAAATGGAAGCATGATAACTTTTTCCTCTTACGTTTTACATACAATTGGCATGATGCAGGCATCTATATTTGTATAAGCAGCATATAACTTCATTACAAACAAAAATATAGACCATGCCATCACGGCATTGGGTACCTTTTCCTAGTTACATGGCAGATGCCCTTCAGATGCAGACTGAATTTCTTCAATTTAGATTCAGTCCTCATCCATTAGACTCTTTGAGAATGAATCTATTTCTGCCAGTAGTTCCTCATTTGTACATTGTGATCTCCCTAGGCGATCATGAGAAGATAGAGATGACATAAGGTTAATGAGGATCTCACAAACTTTCCCTGAACCATAAGAAAGTCCGCTTTCTTTCTCCTTTTGCACCTCACTGGTGTCATTTTGAACTTCATCCACATATAAATGTTTCCTGCAAGCCTGCAAGGTGAATGTGAATATAAGTTTCTACTGGGAGCTCGCGGAAGAATGCTTCTGCAAGGACGACCACAAAGAGCTGAAAAGAATATTGGCATGTCAAACAGATATATTAATTTCTGCTGGGGTATTTCTTTCAGTTGTGAACATTTATGCCTTGAGATTTAGTGATATCTTATGAAAGGAAAAGGAAACTAGAAATAAAGGTCCGCAAACGTCACCTGGAAGACCCGATTTAGGCTGGCAATATGTTCAGCCTTTAGATACCCAGAATTTAGAAGCTCCCGAAACAAAAGAACAAGTTCCCTGCTCACATTACTTCTTGTAATGTTTTGAACAATTGCAGTTAAAGAAGAATCATCTAACACGGAAGCCATCCAGTGGGGAGTTTCTTTTGATTTTAGCAAAGCAATAGCAACATTAACTGCAGGCTTGTGATGGATCATGAAAGATGTTGATCCGATGCGTGGAACTGCCAAAAACATTACTAGTTCCTCTACTATCATCCTGCACCAGATGTTACTTTCTGCAGCTAATTCCTTCCCATCCAGCACTTTCCAATCAATAAACATCGACAGACAACGGGAACAATTAAGAGAGGTTCTGACATCACTCGAAAAAATCAGGCCTTCTAAAATAGCCATTATGGACAATAGATAGCCACTTCTAATGTTTAACCCATCTGGCTCTCTACTTCCTTGATCTGATATTTTGTTTAATAGCTCCAGCAAGCAATATGAAGAAACGAGTTTTATTGCGGGAGAGCCAAAATGCAACAACTTGCAGAAATCGCGACAATGCAAACTAATGTAGGCTATTGGCTGCTTCTCATTGCCATCCTTGAGTAGATTATGCAATTCTGTTATCCCTGGTAGAACAGCTGATAGACTAAGAAAGAACAGAATTACTTTCATAAAGATGAATCAATATGCATCTTAAAAAATAGAAAAGAAGTAATTTACCTTCTTAAAGAGAAGAATATCAGTAAAAGCAAACAAATAAGAGCTTCTCCATTTTTTGTTTCTTCTCCTTTTGAACAAGCTTCAGCAATAGCTTGTTTTATTATTGAGGCTAAAGGAGTACTCAGAAGTATGAGTTTGGAAGTTTCAATCAGCACTTGATTTGTAGAGTGGTGCAATACCAATGCAAAAATGCTGATCACCATAATACTTTCTTGGGTCCAACAATCTGTTTTTCTTGTACCTGTCAAGTAATTCATCAACTACAAAGTACGAAAAGGACCAAATTAATAGTAGGCAACCAGAAGAAAATGCAAAGAAGTAAATTTCAACTGATTTTACCTTAATGGAAATAGCAACCCAAGTTTCATCATCAGAAAGTGACTCAGATTGCACTGACCGTAAAATTAAAATAACTAGATTGGAGATGTCGATAAATAAGTCCGGAAGAGATGAGTATCTTGAGTGGCTATAAAAATTACGGATTGGACTGGCTATCCCATGCACGCATAACAGATCTGAAGTAGCTGGCATCACTTTAATTATTTCTGCAATTGTATGAACTACTGATATGATGTCATCTTCTTGGTCATCCTGTTCTATGAGCTCTCCAAGTAAACACACAAAATGCATTGATCCAAAATTATGTCCCGACATTATCAACTCTGCAATTGATCTTACATCTAAGTTCAGCTTATTTTTGCCAAAGGCAATAATACTGCTTCCTCCAGAACTGTTGCTTCTACAAAAATTCAGCATCTGTTCTGACAGTATCTTAAAGATTTTATCTTGTTGGAACAACCATTTGAGAGAAGTAAAATGAAACTTTATTGAAAGTAAATTCCAATCCTCATCAGTCAATAGATGGAACAGGATTCTTTCTGCTTCTGGGCTATAAGGGACTTGGTAACTCATCTTGGCAAGACCTCTATATAGCCCATAAAGATTCACAAGTAACTCAATTGTCAGTGAAGGAGAAGCTCCACACAAGAGATCACTGCCATTAAGCAAAATATACTGCTCTAAAGAAGCCAGCGCCATCTTATCATCTGCAAGCCTAGGAATAAGCAACGAACAAAAAAGCACAAAATTCATGTGAGACAAATGCAAAATAAACATTTATGGAGCAATAGTGTGAGAAATGGTCAGCAAATCAATTACCTATCATCATAAAGAGAGCTTACATATAGTATTAGAAGTACTGCAGATTGACAAGAAAATAGATGCATATTGTGAGAGCTCTTCTGCCCCAGAAGGAACAGCAAATCTATAGGGTCAGATGGTAGGTGGAATGCAGCACCTCGTATTGGCTGTCCTGCATCTTCACCTAGGAGCAGATCCGCTATTAAACTGAAAATCAGATACACCTTCATTTTTAAATTTTCAGAAGGAAATGACCCTAAACATCCTAATAGGACACTAAACCAGGATGAAGAGACCATAATCTCAGCCAATTTCTTGATTTCAGTGTCAGTATCCTGAATCATTATGGATTCAAAGGTTTCAATCACCCCCAGGATAATATCTTCCTCTTCTATGTCATTGATGGTTGTCATGAACCATGGAAGTATATCTTTTTGACATACGTAAATGATTCCACGCCTCAGACCCAAGTTAATTGGTTCACTACTATTTTCTGCATGGCTATATGCATATGTTTCTTTCAACAGGTAAAGGGAGTGCAAAAGTTGATCAGGGTGCTTATCATAGTTACCCAAACAAGACAACACAGCGTCTCTTGATGCATCATGAAGTGAGCTTAAACTTAAAGCCCCACAGGAAGATGAATTTTTCATTAGAGTAACTAACAATGTGCAGGCCAGATTGAATGTCTCTGGAAGAATGCCTGACTCCCCGCCTGTATTTTTCTTAAGCATCCCTGTCATAATAGTGCTTAGTTCTTCAACATCAGATCTGGAAACTATTCCTGGACACTCTAGCACACAGTTCCCTACAAGCTTCAGCAACTGAGTTTGGGCAGGATGAAAAGGAACTTTGGCTACATGATGCAGAACAGGAATCAGGGTTGCAAACCCAATGGCAAGCCTTTGTCTAAATGCCTGCTCAGCTGTTGATAGTACATCAAGAACCTGAATGCAAGAGTTTACCAGTGGATCCTTGCATCCTAGAAGAGTAGAGGAAAAGTTTTCAGCAGATAAAATATACACATCAGTTAGTGGTGGATAAAATAAATGAAATGCCAACACATTATTAGCTTGACTTTATTATAAGCTAAGCTGCACTTAAATGCCAAAACAGTGACATGATTACAGGACAGGACTCAAGACATAGAACTATTAAGTACATCATGCTCTCCAGCTTTTTCCTAGTGCTTATGTGCAATATCAAATTTGCAATTTTCATTCCTACTTCTGCGACAGACTAACACATTGGATTGGCAAAAGTATCACAGTTTTCCTAATGAAGCTAACCTGATAATCTCAGTATTTCAAGTACATAATCTGCAATGTTCTCCTCTACCATTACTGTGATTTCTTCTTCAGTGCCACCTTCACATGCAAGCACCAAAAAAATCAAATCCAATGTGGCAACTTGAACTTGGCAATCTGAGGAAAGCAGGGGACCTTTGACAGCCTCAGCAAACAAGCTAATGAGAGGACGGCCATCTGTGGTCTGCTCTGATATTTGCATCAGATTCTCTGCTTCAATAGAATCCTTTACTTCATTTCTACATGTATTCTCAAACCATCCTCTAAGAGCAAACACTGTCAAAAGTGCTACAAGGCAAAACAGGAAATAATTAGGTCAGATCAATCCAGAAGTAAATCTTTGTTTGCATAAACACCTGGTAGTATACGAGTCGCTATTGATCTAATTGTGTGTATTGATGCAGTAAACAAGCAATTGATTCGTATGGTTTAGCCCAATTCTAAAGAGCTTAGTGTTTTAAGCATCATAGCACGAAGGACTTGGAATCATATTTTGAATTTGAGATCTTAGTGATTTGCACCCAATATGGATCATTTGTTTTCACAACTTGATACCCAAAGATAGAACTAGTGTACCAAAGTCATCCTGACTTATAATAGCTTCCACAACAATATGTCCTGCAACAATTAATGCTTGACCCAAGTTGTTTCCAAAATTACATGATGCAGTTCAAACTTGACAAAATTATATTCTTGGTGTCTGGGTTCAGACTGTAAATCTTATTCATGTGGAACAATCATTATAACATAGTTCCTTTAAAAACTAGAAAAGCATATCAAAATAGTACATAGGTGGAAGATCTTTACAGTGCTTGCCATTTTGGTCAAGGTAAGGCTGCATAGGCATATGTCATTGTTCTCAGTAGCATTCTGAATTTAGAGACTAAAACTAGAATCTTTATTCACCCAATATAAACCCTCTATAAAAATCTTTCCTGCAACCTGGTAATCCAGTATTGTCTGCATCAAGGAATATCTGCCTCCTAAAGGCAGCTGCTATCTGTATGATGAATTTGACTCAGGTCAATGCATGCCAACTCCACACTAAGGTTACAGTAGGAAGCATGGAAATTACGGAGAAAAAGAGAGAAGAGCATGCTAAAGTCAGTTATAGCCTCATTTCAAACAACAGACCAACCTATACAGTTCAACCGAACATCATCACTTTGAGTCTTCATGAGGGCTTCCAGTGATAAGACCAAAAGCTTAGCACAATTCGCATCTAATACTTCAGAAAAATCATTATCTTCATTGGCATTGACCAGGAAAGCTATTTTGTACAAAACAAACAGAATCTCTCCTTGGATTTCTTCACTGTAGTAAAAGGAGGAAAAATTAGATAGAAAACCACAAAAGTTGAGGCACATAAAGATATTTCATCTTTTATGTAATCACCTAGGCAACTGAAGACCTGCGATAAGGTTGAAAACAAGGGCACCTTTGTCTTTGACATATATATGAGGATTACTTTTCTGACACTCCAAGAGAACGCCCAAGCAATGAAGCTGCAATCAACAAGATTAGGAACTTAAACTTTCCAAGAAAAAATGAAACAGATAAACTTCACTCCCATAAAAATTGCTCTGGAGTCTTCAAATTTACAAACTAATTCATCTATACATCACTTGATAAACATTTGGGAAAATTACATCTGATAAAGGAAGGAAAGATTACAGGCACTGAAATTGTTTACTTTGTGAGAAAAAAATAGTTAGTAGATGTGAAAATCCTCCAAAACCAGAAATGAGAACAAAAAAGAGAAAATGGACATCATGGAGCACAAGCATTATATTTATCCACACACACAAAAGAGGAAAATTCAGACAATCAAATAGAATATAACATAATTTTGTACTACTAATTATGAAGCCTGATCCAAGCAATAACAGAATAACGATAAAACAACACTAGAAATGAAAATGAAATGTAATTTTGAAATAAAAATTCCAAAATCTTCATTATTAAGAAAACTCAACCACAAATAAAAAAGGAATACTTTAGTAAAAAATGAAAAAAAAAAAAGGGAGTTACAATTTGGAGCTGTTGGCAACTCCAAGCTAGGGAGTAAGACGAGAGACGATCAGTAACTTTTGCGACGAACTCTCCGTACACTTGACCATCCTTAGCAGCGTCACATATTAGCAAAACCAAATCCACGATTTGTGCGGCGATGGCAGCATCGTTGAAGGCGGAAAGGGACTGAATGAGAGGAGAAATTAGGAAATGAGAGTGGAAAGTGACGAAGGAGTGGAGAAATTGAGGTTGAGCCAGGGCTTGGGAGAGTTGAGAGAGGGCGTAGGAGACGTGAACTGTTGGGGATTTGGGATTGGAGATGAGATTCGAGAGGCAGACTAGGCAGATCCTTCCGCCTTCCGAAGTTGGGAGGTTTAAGGCCGTGCTGTGGCCTTGCGAGCATGCTTCGTACGGCGGCGGCGATGGTGCGGAGTGGTGGTGCGCGGTGGTGAAGAACATTTTTGGTTCTTTTTTGAATTTGAACAGGGAGAACTTTTGGCGCGGAGGGGAGTGAACGGGATTTTATAGTTGGGACTCGGGAGAATGAAAGTTGAAAATGGTAAGAGTTTTTTTTTTTTTTTTTTTGCAGAAAAAGGATAAATTATGAGTTGAATCAAAATGTGAAGTTTTGAAATGAAAATTATGGATCCAAAAGATAAACGTGTGATATTGGGATAAAAAGTTTTATTACGTGACGAATATGAAGTAAAAATAGAATTAAAAATATAAACATGTAATTAAAAAATGTATTTACGATATAACAAAAAGAATTCTAAAATAATTTGGTATCCAAACAATTAGTGTCATTCGTAAATTGTACTGGAATATTTCAAATGTCATTATAAGGCAGTTGGATAATTGAGAATTTAAAAAGTTAACATTCAACTATAAATGATGAAGAGAATAAGAGTGTACAAAAATAAAATAAAATAAAATTCAAACGAATTGGATTTCATTTGTCATCCCTCAAGTTTAATAAAAAGAGAAGAGGAGTAACTATAGCAGCCCCAATGGTTGCCACATGGCTCTCCTTCTTTTTGACAAGTGGCATATTTCGTGATTTAATTTCTTTTCTTTTTTTCATTATTTTTCCCCTCATTTTCCCCTTCCTTTTTTATCAAGACAAAAATCTACACAAATCCTAATGTACCGTAGCTTCATCCCTTCCCATCCTTTACCTCTTTATCTGCTCCCACGCTTTACACCTTTCTCTTTCAATGTTCGTTTTTTAAATGAGGCGAATTTACTAACATAACTCATATTGTTAATTTTCTTTCTAAAATTTTGCCAATGTATTCCCATTTATATTTTTCACTGGAACATTATATGTTAAATGATGCTTTTAGACTCTGAGTTGCGAGTTGAATGAGTTATTTTTTTCTAACGATATTGACACAGTTTATCATGCTATTATTATATTTTCAAGTAAGGACATGTGAAGGTGTATGTATTTGTTAGAATTAATTTTACAAAAATTTTTTTCATGCTTTCTTTTTTTAGTTAATTTTTAACTTAGGACTGTCTTATTTTTGGATTAATGTTTTTGAATTAGCAATGCTAAACAGAAACACTATCATGTTGAATCTATATTTGTTTGCCATATATTTAATTCTTATATTGCTGCTATTTTTCTAAATAAAAATGTAATTATATATATTTTAAACAATATTTTACATGGGCCCAAGCACAGCGTGGTTTTCCTAGTATCATAAAATACTGAAAAAGAAAGAAAGATTTGATTAAGAGTTAATGTATAAAACTTACTGGATGGAAAAAAAAAAAAGAAAAGAAAACCAATAGGTAAAATGGAAAACAACAAAATAAGATAATTCTAATCAACAATGTAAGATTCACAATCCTCCCAAAAAGAAAAAAAAAAATAAGTGCTATAGATATAGTAGGTGAACTAGACTGAAAACAATAGCATCATAGTACTTAATTTGAACCAAAAGAAACCAATGCAAAAAAATGACAAAACTTGTCTATGACCGCCACTAAATAGTCTATGCGTAGACAATTCACTTTCTATCAACAACTAAACCGTAATCAATTTCAACTTCAGGTAATTTGTTCTACATTTATCAGTCACCTCAATGAGGTGCATTAAACAATATTCATATTCTCATTAAGACAAGAACTATCGAGAGTAAGACTTGATTATGACTACAATTCATCATAAAAGAATAGCTAAGTCCTATGTGTAGAAAAAGTGTGGAGGAGATAGAAGCCAGCCATATATCATCTTGTTCTTCTGCAGATGGAACTTTTGGAATTTGGTGGAGTCAACTACAAGAGGCAGTGGAAAGGCAAGAAGGGAGGGAACATGCTGACTTGACATCAAATTTACAAGGGTAAATCTGGAAAGCCAGGAATCAGAATTGCTTTAATTCAGAGTGTAGAGAGAAAGAGGAAACAGAAGAACTGGGAAGAAATAAGACTGTTAAAAATCCAAGAAACAGTGCCATATAGCAAGCAACGAACATCTTCACTGATGGTGCATCTGACAAGAGCCCAGGAACAAAGCTGGACTAGGTGTGATAGTTAAAGACAACGAAAAAACATTCTCATGGAATGGCTACTTGGGAATCCCTGTGAATTTTCGTGCAAAGATCATAAAAGCAAATAGTAATCACGTCTGACTTTGCTTTTTGCCATGGAGAGTAAATTCGTGCATCTATTTGTATCTCCTCTAATTGCAATGAAATAGTTACCCAAATTGAACAATGATGAATCTTTTCTATCTACTGTATCACAGGACATTTGGAGACCTAAGTATTGCTTTTGAAGCAGCTCTCTCATTTAGATTCATAGGCAAGAGAACAAAATATTAGCCCTTGTTTGGCAAAATTTTGCCACTAAACTCCATGATGTAAAGTGGGAACTGGAGAGGGAAAAATTTTGCCACTAAAAATTTGCTCCCTGACGTCAAGGGAGAACTAGAGTTCTCCATGGATTGGGGATAGGGAAGTTGCCATTAATTCTAGACTTAGTTCAATACAAAGCAGGTTACATTTCCATCCCCCACCCCAGAAAACAAAAATAATACTAATGCTTCCTAGGCCGAGTGAATCGGTATTTGAAGGCAAAAGACGCAGATTTAAGCTTCCAGAGAATAGTTACATGGTGAAATCTAAATAAGATCAATCTTCAATACAAAATGAAAACATAAATAACAACTTTGGAAAAAAAGTTCATTGGTAGAAAAGCAGCAAAAGAACTTCATAGCAAAGGTGAATTGACTGAGACAGCCTGCAGAACCTTCCAAAGTGCATGTGTATATGCTACATTTCAAATGCTATAGAACTGTCAAAATAATCAAAATGTTCCAGGATTTTCAACCTAGAGCGCTGGAGCAATTAAAAGTACAGAAGTTCAATACAACACAAAATCTAAACCTGGATGATAAATTACAACCACAAAAGGCAAAATGTAGCTGCGATCTTCCTAAGCAGCACTCCATGAGAACACAGATGCCTCTCTTAACCTGTATGCTCACTCGCCCTTCCAAAACATCTTCAACATAAAGCTTTTGGGCCCCTTACTTTCAAAGAAGCCAATGCCGCCTGACACACCAAAGAATGATGGCTCCTTATTGTTCAAATAATTTAATTTAGGTCCGACCTCTCATTTCATGAATGACTGGAAAGAAAGGAATGAACACAAATTGAAGCACAAGGATACCAAGGGAGAGTAACATCTCATCTCATTCTGGAATTCTTACAAAATCAAGAATCATTACATACTAATCTCAAGGGTCCGATCATTTCTCTCAAGAAGATTGCACTGCCAGCCGCTGAAGATGCTCAAAAAACACTTGAAGACTCACATCATCGGTGAAGATTATGTCTGTTCCAGCTGCCATCTCATGCGCATTATTGTACGTAGCTGACGGGTTCAACTTTGCCAGTAGGAATCTTGCCTGATTTAACATTGACAAAAACTCGTATTAGCAGCAAACTCAAGTTTGCTTGAAGGGGGAAAATATACAACAAATTAGCAATAAGACCAGCTGCAGAGCATGTCTAGTTTTCATCGTGAACCGTATTGATCACACTATTAATTTCACTCTTCTTTCTATCTAAAGTGGAGAAACTGAGGGATAAAGCTGAGGCATAAAATGAGGGATATCACTTTAATACTGAGGCATAAAGCAAGAGGGATATCAAGAAAAAAAAAATGATGACAGCACAAAAATAAAAATGAACAAATTGATGGATAAAGATAAACAGAAAAAAAAAAAACAAATTTATACCCAAATATCTCCCCAGAACCTCACCCCCAATCCAATCACCCCTGAAACTGACCAGCACCTTCATTAAATTAGTTGAATACATCACGATGTCTTGCATATGTTTGTAGCTCATGTTAAAACACAATTACAAAGTACCTTGCAGAATGTTTAAACAGACCAACCCATTGTTGTGTATTCCTCGTGTATACACAAGTTTACAGAATAAAAGTTTATGTCAAATAGCGAAGAGTAGAAGGTACAGATGACTTTCAATGATGACAACAATCAAGACAACCTGTCACAGTAGCAAAAGTACTCGACAGCATTAATTTTCGTGGACTCCTGTTACATTTGTTTCATAAAAGAGGTTGAGATTGCATCATCACAACCAAGACATCCTTGGCTAGGCTCCTAAGGACATCATAAGAGAACTCTGAAGTGCCCCAAAGGCATGTGTACCCAAATCCCAACTGGTGGCTTATTAGCATTGCATCATCGGAATGATCCTTTCTGTATATTCTCTTCCACCCCCTTTTCTTGCTCTATTCTCTTATCAGTACTGTGCTAATAACCTAATCTTCTGTCAAAGAAAACTTTTTCTTTGTATTCCCCTATGACTGAAAGCATCAAACCTGTCTCTATCTAAAGGAATGACCCAACAAGATGTAAATCAACTGCATTTTCTCATTGACCGGTCTTAGAACCTTAAAAAAGCAGATATCATACACACTTCTACACAGTTTTCCATTACAGAACAGGTATTAATTCATCATAAGGGGACAAAGAAGTACAAAATATCACCCTGTGATTTCGAAAGTCGGAAACAAGTACCCAAACACCATAACAAAAAAGCAGCCTAAATTTCCATGAGCCAGTAAGTATTTTTTGAATGTTTCACCAAGCAGAGTTCCCTGCTTTCCAGAATGAAGTAAAAAGCAAGGATGCAGACTAATATAAAATCTAGAAGAGAACATGTATCAATATCATGGCAAGACAATTACAGGCAAAGCTAGGATCAAACAAAAATAACCTGTGACCCATGCTGATCGCAAACCACCAATCTGGGTGTGGGGAACCGATCACGAATAATTGTCTGGGCATCTTCTTGAGGAGCTTGCAAGAATTGTGCAAATACCTACATAGATGATGAAGAAAATAGTCACAAAGAAAGAAAGAAAAGGCCCCCGTACCAGGGTACACAGTTGATCTTGTTATCACAGCACAATCTCATTTCCATATCAAATTAGATACTCATAAATGGGAAAATAGCGCGAAGTGATAGCAAAGAGACCAAAGAATTATCATAAGAAAATAGATATCTATCAATACATAAGCTCATGTGAACCCATATAGAAGCAAGCTGATAAGCTGAGTACTTACCAGGAGAAGCAAAACCAGAAAAACATATTCAAAATAGAAATTCTGACCAGTGGAAGAAGCAAAGAACAAAACGCACACAAACCTGGTGTTCTGGTTGATTCTGGTAGCCCATGTTTCTCCACTGAGCTATCGTCATCCCATGGAAAATTACAACACTGAAGTATGTATCTAACAACAGAATACGATCAGCTGCAATTGATGCCACATCCAACAAAGCAGGTGTGGGCAATGAATGGAAAGAATATGCCATCAGTGATGGTTGAATCATAACAACGGAGTTGCTTATGCTCTCCCGGTTGAGCAACATGCGGAAGTATGCCGTCTCATCTGGACTGTTATTAAATACCTACATAGAAAAGAGAGGGTTCAAGCCAATAGGATGAAAATTGACAAGCTATAATTCTAAGCGACATTCTAAAGCTCCTGCCTATACCTGCACAAATTGTGAACGCCGCAGATTAAACATGAATTGAGGAAACAATGAAAAAGAGGGATTTAATGTAAATGAGGACGGGTCATCCTTCCGGTAGTCACCGAATTTGGCACAAAGACGAATCAGATTCCGATCCAACCACCGTGTGGCATCAAAACCATCCTGAGATTTATATCCATCAACAACAATATAAAGTTACAGTCAGCATGTAAGTACAAGAATCATTTACACATTTACTTTTTAATTAAAATATTTTATTGCCCAATATGAATCTGGTATGCAATTTAAAATTTCTTTGCAAAGTTTTAGTGTACCACTACACAAAATTCTACACAATCAAGCTTGTTAGCCTAATTCACATATTCTATTACATAAAATAGAACTTGCATGAGAGAGTGAAAAGAATACTCTTGAAAACCAATTACATTATACGAAGTTTCAAGTAAACCAATTCCAGAATCATAAGTAATTCACAGATGTGCAGAAACCTTAAATAAATTCTACATATACCAAAAGTTTTCAAAATAAGACCAAAAAAAAAGTAAAGCAACAGTGTCAGCATCTGTTTCTCTCTCCTCTTTTTTGATGTGTCTTTTAACAACCACCATGGATCAAAAATTATATTTAACGAAATGAGCTTGTTGAATATGCACATGAAGGTCATTAACAGTTTTTAAGAAAGAAAGACTACCTCATTCTCCATTTTATAAGAAGCAAATCTGGCCACTATGACAGCAGCAGTTTCTTGGTCAAACCCTTGGACCAACTCCTGCATGTGAAAAATGATTAGATTTAACATTGAACTGACTGCAGAACTCAAATTTGCCTGATAGAACAACAAACGCCACTAGACCAAAGTTGTCCACCCAAAACAAGAAAATGTTATTTAAAATAGAAATTAGGGTTACAGAGACAGGAAAAAAATGCACGTCAAAAAAGAGCAAGTGAAACAACCAGCATTATACACCACCATGTCCTTACCTCTGTGCCAAGAGCACTATCCGCCCATCTTTTGGTAACAGTTGTAACTCTCAACAGCGATTGGCCTTCAGGGCTCCGGTAGCTGCATGGACGTTTATTAATAGCAGAATTTGCACCCAGACCAAAGTGACATCACGGATGTAAAAGTACATGCACAAAAAAGAAGCTTATTGTCAAGCAAACAAAATGAGGGCCCACAAGATAAACAAAAGGAGGCCAACTTCTAAGAAAAAAATAACATGCATGAAAAGGACCCAATACCTTGTAAGGAACTGTAGGAATAATTGAGGATTTGATCCTGATGGATCTGATTTTTCACTTGACGATATATCAAAGAAAACAGTCAAGCAAGTATTCCTATCGAGGCCACACAACTTCCAAGATGTAGTGTTCCCTTCTCCAACAACCGTACTGGCAACAGAAGGCCCTTTCTGCAAGATTTCCATTCATGGAAAAAAAAACTTTCAGTATCAAAATTACACATAGTTACACTATTCTTAAACAAAATAGAGCACTCTATTCAGTTAAAGGAAGTAGTGCTTCAAGAATGAACAAACCTTCTCCAAAGATGTGCAAGGTCCAATGACACCTTGGATTTTGATGTCCTTTGAACAGTTTATCTCGAGTGTGCCACTGAAAAGGAGTTGCATGACTTAAATTATTCAGAGAAATAACATGTAAAGCATAAATGACAGAATATAGCACAAAGAAAATATTACAAAACAGTATAGCCCTGACAACAAGCCATAGAATAAAAAGACGGACCAAATAGGCAACTCTCTTAAGTTCAAATTAATAGCATCTACAAGGTCAGCTGAAGTTCCAACACTTTTGGAAGACCAGCATGTCAAATTGGCAAATACAAGCATATCTATAAAGATATTGAGAGCAAATGTCACAAACAAAAAGATCATCAACCTTTTGCGATTAGTCAATGTAAATGTTAGACAACTCATAGAGGAGCAAAAATTCGGTCATTTAATTTGCTCCCTTCGACCATATTTTCCGGTTGCTTCCCACAAGCAAACTTCAATTGCAAAATTCTCTTCACTCCACATAATTAAACAGTATCTTGCATAAATTCACTGAGGCATGGAATTTTTAAACCAAATAGCATTTGGTCTAAAATGTTAATTTATGTACTTAAAGATGCTTAAACTACACATGAACTCTCCTAATTTGTAGCACGTCCAAAAATAACATGCCAAAGTCGTTAATGCAAAATTTAATCGAGTTCTTATACTTAACCTAATTTGATGTTTCCACAATTAAAATGCATCTTTAAGTTCCCTCATTTACACCAACACCATCTAGCCTACAATATGATAATGAAACATAAAAAAATTTAAGAACCTCAAAAGTTACAAAATGCAGCAGCAATTTAGCAAATGAAAGAGGTGCAGCTTGAAATCGTAAAATTAAGAAACTCACTTATAGGAAAGACCAAGAGACTGTTCTCCACCTTCAAAAAGTCGTTTGAAAGAGTCTTTAAATACTGAATGACCAAAACTTTCAGCTAAAACAACAAGTCCACCAGTTTTTTCAATGGCAACCTTCATCTCAGCAACCCCAACCTAAAAACTTCCTTCTATTAGCAAAAGCAAATAAGGTAAAAAAATAAAGGAAAAAACTCCATGGACAAAATCAATTAGATTGAGCATATACACAAAAAAAGAAAAGAAATAGCTAAACCAAGCAGCAGAGAATCAATGGTGACCTAATGGAACGGAATATAAACACATACTGAAAGTGTGGATATCCAACCATATAGGAAACACACCAGATAAATCAGCAGAAGTCATTTAACTCCAAATTGACAGTAGGAAATCTTTGAAGTTGTAGAATTTTAGAAATTGATTTTACATAGTTTCTATCTTCTTCCCTAATGGACAATCAATTTAAGGATTAACATATGTTTGGCTTTCTTCTTCCTCGCTACTTAAATTATGCATCCTATGCTACAGGTGTCTGGAAAATCCTCCCTTCCAGCTACTTATACCTTTCTAGCTCCACCATCACACTTCATTCAGTTTAAAAAAAAAAAAAAAGGGCTGACGTGTAATCAGTGAAAATTCTTTTGGTTCAATGGCTTTGAGTGAGTGCACTAAGATTACTGGTGTCCAACAATCACGACAGCCCACATTCCTTTTGTAACCAAGTATAATGAGGCAAAGTGTTGTAAAAGACAACAATGAAAATAAACACCACCTGCTTTGATTAAGAGTTTCATATCTCTCATGTAAGACTTATTGAGAAAGCAGTAAAGACAAAATGAAACAAAAAAATGGTAGATGAGCAAAAGCAATTTCCACTGATGAGCTCCAGCAGTATGCATCTATAGCATGTGAATCTAAGTAAAACCCATCTTTTGAAATACAGGCTATAAGAAATGGTGTTACAGCCTCACAGAAGTATAAAGTTAATTATCTAAGATGAATAATGAGTGCTGAGTCGCGACATACAAACCTGATCAAGAGCAGATGCAAAAACATCCAAGACATGACCCTCACTGACAAGTTGCTTAGCTAGCTCTTCATAGAAATGAACAGCTTTTTTGAAAAATGGTGCAGCATCCTTGTCTAAATCCTTATGTGAACGAACTGGATCTGATAGATCCTTGGAAACAATCTGGAAAAAGAGGCATATGTCAGCTATTTATAGTAATCAATAGTCAAGACTCAATTTATTGAACCCAAACAATTAGAACTGATTTGTTCAGACATTGAATAGTTCATACTTTCAGTCCTTACCCCTGGGACATAAGTCTAAAAAATGCTTTTCTGTACTGCTCTAGGACCACCATACCATGAACAACATAAGAAAGAGAACCAAAGAAAAACAAGTAGTATTACAAATAATCAAGAAGCTCAATTTCAAATAACAGCAGCTATTGCTCAGACACCCCAAAGTTGTTAAACCAATCAGAACCCCAATACTTAAACAAATTTGATCTTTTCATTCATCTTGAAAAAAAAATTACATTTTCCATCAATGAAGCTACAGTTAAAACCATTTACAATATAAAACACAGTTACAACATTTGTGCACAGCAATACCAGAGGGTTTTTCTTGCACATGATCTTAATCAGCTTGTGTAGTATTGCTATCCATGACCAGTAGACAGGTGTGCAACTGCCATTGATTCCAAATGGGAAGTGAGATAAGCTTTTCTTTTTCTTTTCCCTTCCCCCAAAGTGATTCAGGAAATGCCAATTACATAACCATGCAGACTCAAAAGACTCCCTAAAATCCAACTTCATGACGTCGTTACCAGATAATAATGAAAATAGATACAAATCTACACTTTCTACATTGTCATCACTAAAACTTCTTCCTTTTTTACCGTGACAGCAAGGATGTTCAAATGAAATCCGATTGAACTTGTCAATCAACAGCACACCATATGCATAAATGAAAAAAAGAAAATCAAATTCTAACCAGTAATAATAGAAATTAGAAAGACCAGAAGAAGCTTTACCACTCCTGGCCCTTCAGTACATGGTCCACCAACTAAAGCAACAATTCTTGCGCTTTGACCAGCTGCGCAAACTCCAAGCAAACCAGCTGCAACACTCAATGCAACTCCTGTACACCGTAACGACCTGCTCCCAGGTGGCACCAGCCATCGATCCGTCCCCAACTCATCCAATAGCTACAAAAAAAAGGCAGAATCATGACGCAGATTCATCCCAAGTAAAGTAATTCCCTACAATAACCAACAAATTCCATAAAAACACGCACCGAATTGAGCGTATATTCGCACTCAGAAGCAGGCAACAGGAATCTAGAAAAACCGGGATTCGGCATTCCTACAGGGCTACCTCCAACTCTCTGAATTCCAGGCATTGGCCGTCGTGCTGCCCCAATAACACCAAGTCCCAACTGCTCCAAAACCTGATCTTTCGTCAAATCCTTAGACCCTCTAAAAACATACACCTTAGACAATTCCGAAAACCCCAGCTCGTGAACCTGCACCTGCGTCCCAAACGATATAAACCCAACCAAAGCATTATCAGGCAACATCCCAATAGCCCTTTTCAACGCCGATTTCGCAAACTCCAATTCCTCCTCGAGGACACAAGTATCCAAAACGAACAAATAAACAGCCGAATTCGGCTCGAAAAAGTTAGGGTTTTGATTAGGGTTTTGATGGTGATGAATCGGCTGCAGGGTGGGGAGGGTATACTGAATGGTGGTGAATTGGGGGTAGAGCTCGGCGGGCATATTCGTCTCCGAAATTGCGTTGTAATGCTGGGGAAAATGATTCCGAGAGAAACAAAACGGGCAGATCCAAACTAGACCTTGGAAATCGACGCGGCAAAATGGGTTGAGGACGGCGGTGCAGGTTTTACACTTGAGCGGCGGGTATGGGAGGGTGAGGACGTCGGGATGAGATCGGATCGGAGAGATCGAGGCCGCGAGTGGGATCACGCACTTGCTCAATTCGACTTTGGTCCGTGGCCAGACGTTCCACGTCATCCGAACTCCGTCGATTCCTTCTGGATCCATCTGAGCCATCTCCGTCGCCATAATTCAATCGAATTCTCGGTGATCGGAGGATTTTTGCTCTTTTTTTTCGTTCTTTTTGAATTAAAGAATTTATTAGGGGATTTATTTAAGGGGGTATTCAGGGGGCCCCGGGCTGCCGGGAAGAAGAAGAAGAAGAAGCAGAAGAGAGTCAAAAGATGGATGAGGGGTAAGTTTAGTGTGTGTGTGTGTGTGTGTGTCTGTGTGTGAGACAGCGAGTGAGGTGGATTTTTGGGTGTGATGACGTTGGGGCTTTTGGTGTTGGATCTCTTTTGCTAACGTTTATTTTGTGCTTATTTACAATTTTTTGTCAAGTCTATTTTTCCCTTTTGTTTTGGGGTAAAAGTAAAAGTTTTTTATTAGATAGCCAAATAAAAAGGTTTTAATACATGCTTGATAGAATAGTACTCACTAGCTATTGAGGCGCATTCAATGCGCGTGCAATTTATTAAAAAATATTTTTAATTGTAAGAATCATAAAAATAGTACCAGTGAATATGGCTATTTTATGTAATATATGATAAAAAGTGTATAATATATAAATATGTACAATTGGAAATAAAAAAAAACCATTGATAAGAAAGAATGTGAGAATTGGACGAATGTATTTTTGATTGAGTAGAATTTGTATGTCAGCTGATATTTAAGACAAGGGTTAATGGATAATAAAGATAATAGAGATGGATAATAGAAATAAAGATAAATTTAGAAACAAATAAAGTTAACACCAATTTAACCACCTACATAGATTTTATTATTGTAAAGAAATGATACTTTTAAGAATGGGTAATAGTTCATATTGTGTTAATTCAACCGTCGAAATTATCTGATTTTTAAGAATGGTGGATAAAAAAATTTAAATAAACCTTAAAATATTTAGATTTTTTTAAATATTTAGATTGTATACTGTTGACCAATGAATTAGTTTTATTTTTTACAACTCATTTAGTTTATGAAAAATGTAACTACAACTCCGACTTCATAGGTATTGGGACATAGCACGAAGTGCTTTCTTTATTTGATGTTAAATTTGTTATTCTTTATTTGATTAAAGATTACTCATATTAATTCATGAAGAGATGCATATACATATATATATATATGTATGTATGTATGTATGTGTATATATATATATATATATCCATGAAAGAGGAAGGAGGAAAAAGATTCGAGAAGTAATTACAAGAGAAAGAAGAAGACAATAAGAGAGAAAGATAAAACACAAACAAAAATTATGTATAATAAAACAATTTTGAGTTAACATAAATAAATCTAAAATTAATGGAATTGAATAAATATAATGGAAAAAGTAAACTAACTGACTATTAGTATATCACTTTTGTGACTTGAGTGGACAATTTGAAACAATAAATGATTAATTCGGAACGTGTAATGTAAATAGTTTGATTACTCATCTTTGTTTGAATGTTTATCTTTTAAGATGCATTTTGAAAAATTTTCTGAATTTCTTTAACTAAATCACACCCAACCTATTATATAAGTACACACATTAATATTTATTACACCCCCTTGCATTTATACACATTAGCTACTTAACTTTATTTTTTTAATTCAATTGGCACTAACTTATTTTTTCTGTATCACCTTCATTGGAATAGACTTCATGAGTTAAAGAATTGTTTAGAGAACATGTAAAGACAAATTAAAACAACTCCTCGTCCAAACAAGGGTCCTCCTCTATTTGGATGGTCAAGTTTTATGGAAATTAGTGGGAAAAGAACAAAATTGGAAATTTTTTTGTTGCAAACAAAATAATATTATGAACTTTTGTTTTGCAAACAAAAGAAGAAGTTAATAGAAGTTAATAGAAGTTAAAATAGTGAAAATTATTGGAAGTTTGTGAATTTTAGTGGTTATCATCTTTACTTTTGAATGGTAACTTTTTTTTAAAAAAAAAAAGGTGATAAAAAATTTTAACACCTAACTCATATCTCATGCTTTATATGTGTGTGTATATAAAGATGCTTTGAAATTCTTTAAATACATTTCTCAATCATTTTTTCCTCGCATACACATTTGCTGATAAGGCACTACACAAATTTTCCTAAAAACATCGAACATGTTTCATGTTATTAGTGGTGGGAACGCGTTGAATACCTGTTTCGTGCACCATTTGGCTGACGTGATCCGCACTTGTTGGTTAGTCATTTCCTGACTCTTACCTAATATGGGTACTCAGTCACTGGATATCTATTGAGATAGGATCGGACCAACAAGTACCCTCCAACCCTGCCCTGTTTATTATTTAATTTTTTTAAAAATAATTTATAATAATTTAATTTTATATCTTATATATTCATTTAAGATTTAACAATTTCCTCAAAAGAAGTCTCCTACCAAGAAACAAGTATGCAAAGAGAATACAAGAAAAAGTAAAAAAAATTAAAAGAATTTAAAATCAATAAAAATTTGAAATAAGTAGTACCTTTTTAAAATATATATTCCACATCAATTAAACTCTTTCCTAAAAAAAATATAAAATCAGGTTCTCTACAAATAAATCTCGTAAACAAATTATAGTCCTCCATATTTGTAGTGTAATTCGCTCAATAAAATTACTTAATTAGTTCTAAAAATATTATTTTATAGTATGTGTATAAAATAAATAAATAAATAAATAAATAAATATATATATATATATATATATATATATAGTATGGGTCCAGTACCTATGGGTTTTTAATCTTATGATCATACCCCGTCCTGTATATAAGCAAATACCCGACCATTTTTTGATCCAATCAATTAATGTGAATTAGATACCCTTTTTTTTGGATCGAATCGAATATAATGGGTTTTCGAATCAATGGATATTTTTGTCCATCCCTACATGTTATACAACAAACCACCAACCTTTGGGCTGGTGGCCACCACCTAACTTGGTGGGGTGGGAGGCAAGGGGTGTTTGTCACATTTAAGTGGTTTGCTTCAAAAAATTCAGGCGGGTGTGTTGTGCACCCGTTTGGTCCGGTGGTGGTTTAGTCCCCTCCAGATTATCCCCGGACCTTTGTGTTGTGAACTACAGAGAGTGTTCTCTACATTAATATCCATCAAAAGCATATCCAACTATGTCATGGAGTAATGCTTTAAGAATGTTGAAGAAATTCCCTTCATGACGGAGCCAGCACTTAATTCTAGTGCTTTCAAACTGATCCCTAAAGCCCTCACCTGGCCACATAAGCACCATGGCCTTCTTCGAGAAGAAATCCAAGAGAACGCACAGCAGGGTGAGGATCTTGGACTATACATCCACACTAGATTGTCACGCGAGTGGTTCCATTCCCATCTCTCATGTCTATTCCCACGAGTAGTTCAAGCTCATGGCCCTGCAAGACATTACAACCATTGTTCAAAGTCGCGCTCGCAGTTGCGACCGCGGCTTGGATCGTTCCACATCGGTTTCGACATATCGGTCGCGGTTTTGGCAAGACGCGAATTTGTGAAATATTTAATATTCTAAAAATTGTAAAAAATATGATAAACAAAAATAATTAAAAATTTTAGTAAAAATAATAAAAATTCAAGTTGACTCGGGATGACTCGGAGTGACTCAGTGTGATTCGGCCGTTTCAACCTTTTACAGTGACGTCTCGGTCTGTCACGTATCTCGGAAACGTTTCGTCGTGATCTTGTCTCGGACTAGGCCGAGACCGAGACGACTCGGCCGGCCGAGTCTTCGAACCATGATTACAACACTTTCTCAGTTAATTTATACAACATTCTGTAATAATCAATAACTAAGAGTGCATTGTAAAAGGTCATCTAGGAAACCTGTTGATAAGATAGAGGGTGTATCATTGCACCACTGACTTCCAAGAAGTAATCTGGGCTTATGGAGCGAAGATCTTGAACCTAAGCTATTAATATAACAAATGAGATATACAAGATAGAGGATCAAGCAAGCCACATTAGACGTGCCTAGAAGAGCGCCAGTACAGAATCATATTAACTGTAATAATCAGTAACTTAATCCTATTATTAGTCTGCATGCATGAAACATAAAACCCAAGAACCCCAAAAAAAAAATGGAATCCATCACATTGAGGAATTTAACTGGATCTGTTTGAACTAAATACTTTCAACCATTCAAGGTGAAATATTTTCACTGCCATGCTCATTGTAGATGCACAAAAGCAAAGGCAACAGGGAAACTTCATCTCAAAGGTTAAATTTCTCAGGATCAGTGAAATGTAAAGCCAAGAACGAATTTATGTACTTAGCACTAACTGAAGACTTGTTTCTGCGACAATCCAAAAAAATAGAGATCATGACAAGAAAATCTAAACCATGAAATTAGACAACACTACAAAACTGACCACCAAGTTCATGACGACTGATTTGCCACCCCTTTCAATATGCAGTTCAACATTCTCGTTGACACTGTCATCAAATAAAGTCTCCATCTTCAGGAACTGGGTAATTACCTGCAACGTGTTTCCAATGTCAACAAATAATTCAATGGATTATCATGCATGAGTTCAAGAGGTTATCATGATTACCATGAAAAATACATATCCAGTAACCAAACGGAGTCCTAGAAAAGTAATCTCGACTATTTTGTCTAGGCCTTTGAAACTGAATTGTTTCATCAGAAGAAGACCCAATAGCATTTCTCCTCTTTGCAGCGTTACACTCTCGACGACGAAGAAGGAGATCGGCCTTCTCATTATTCGGCATTTCTGCATACCTTTTACGTCTTCTGGCATTTTTATCTATCTTTGGATAATATAGATTGAAAAGATAACAAAAGAAGAGGCAAGAACACAAGAGCCTTTAAAAACAGATTTAAAAGAAAACAAAAGGTTGTACAACATACACAAAAGAAAGAATGGTTTAAAAAATTCTAAAAAAAGGGACAAAGATAGCACAGACCGTTTAAAAATGATCAAGAAGAAAAAGCTCTACAACCCTGTCGTAACAAGCACAATAGGAGAATACACAGTATTTCTTTAAAAGGAATGTACTAGAGTAAATACCTGAAACAAGAGCTGCAACAAAGGAAAACCAGAAACCAGGTGAAGTAGCTAAAACCAAGCTGCATAATAAAAATGAAGCAAAAGTCACTAATGATAAAGCAGAAAATTTTATCAGACCAAGGCTAAAACAAGCACCAATGCACTAACCAGTGAGGAAAACAAAAGTTAGAGACAAAAATAAAGAGTAAGGAACAGTAAAGCAAAAAAATTATAATACAGCAGAGAGGAGAACCTAATAGCAACACAGAAAAGGTGCTAAAAACACACAAACAGAGCTGAAACACTAACTAATTCAGCAACAACTACAGCCATTCAGCAAGCAGCAGATCGGGTAATTCTAAAGTGTAAACCACAACCAAAATCTAAATAAACATAAACCTAGCAAAAAAACCGAACAAGGCAATTTGATGAGTAGACCGTCTATTGTTATGGTACAAATAATAAAGTTGAAGCTACGATATCAAAGAAGAAAACCAAGGAGGACAACAAAAGTATAGTAAATACACAAAAAAGCTAGCCAAGAACAACAATTCAACTACAATAATGCACATTTTGCAAACATCCCATGAACAGATTTGAAAGGAAAAACACTAAGATAAGCAGAAGAAAACTAATGGAGAAAACAAATCACGCAGGGTAGACATAAATAGTAGCATACATCTAGCAAAACATGCATAAGTTCATTTAAGAGATAAAAATGCAGTCGAAACAAAGATAAAAGTAGAAAAGGAAAAACATACAGGACACAGTAAAATAGCTTCATAAAACTACAGAAGAGCTCGTCCAACATTGTCAAATGGCGAACAAGAAGAAGAAGCAACATAAAAAATAGCCACTGTCATATCAATTAATAACAAAGAAACTTGGAAAAGCAACCGATTTCATCGTTACAATCACTTAAGCCTGGGAAAGAATGACAAAATGCTGGAAAAAATGTACGACACCTCATCCACAGAGGTCTCTTGCCGACCTGCCCCAAGAAGGAGCTGAATTTCTGGTTAACCCAATCAGATGTGGCAAATCCCACATTACCAATACACCTCTCAAAAAAAGCAAAAACTCCAAAATACTTAAAGGCTCCAGATGTAAACAGGGACAAACCAGAGTGCTAAAACTGTAACTTCACCGGGTTTTTGAGCCCAACCACCACAATAGCAAGCCAACTACTTCATTGTTTCGCAAGTAGGCCACGTCCAGCACATGAAGTTGCGTCCAATGGATTTCGTGCCCACCACATGAAGCCCACGTCCAGGAGGAAACCACCAAAGCCAATTCACCATCCATGTCATGACAAGCCAATCACCTACCGCCACATGGGCGAACGATGATTCCTACGTAGCAAGGGGGCTTTCACCCTTAGCCTATATGGTTAATAATTCATATTTTATAAAATAAAATAGAACTTTAATTGATTAAATGAGTGTTTCTTTGAATTGTTAGCATCTTCGATAAATTGATAAATTAATAATTTATCAATTAATTAATATCTCTTTAAATTAATAAAATTTGTATGGTCACAATGTTATTAGTCTATAAATGTTTACTGTAATTAGAAATTTAGTATAGATGTATTAATAAATTTAGTATAACTAATTAATAATTTCTATTAATATACATGTATAATTATTAGTATAATTGATAATATTAATTATATTACATATAAACTAATATACATTAAATAATATTTATAATAATATTATTATAAATTTATGATTAATTAAATTAAATATATATATATAATTATACATTTAAATTTTTTTAACGAATGGCGGAGCGATGAAGGGTGAGACATACTTAGAACTGTTAAATGAACCGAGCTGTTTAGTAGCTCGGCTCGTTTCGACTCATTCGTGTTCGTGAAAGACTCGTTTAAAACCTTAAACGAACCAAATTCGAACGCATTTTTTTGTTCGATTAATAATTGAGCGAATATGAGCATGTTTGCGAGTTTTAATATAAGTTCGCAAACACGAGCAGGTTCGCGAATTTTAACGAACGTTCGCGAAAATGGACATAATTATCATTTGACAAATTTTAGGGTTAATTTTATGGCTGGATTTTTATATTTGGAGGGCAAATTGCTTTGTTTTATTTGTTGTTTTTATGTTAATGTTAGTTATATAGTTAATGAATAATAGAATTTAGTCACTTAGTGCTTTAATTGTTTTTGAGAATAATTAATGATTTGCATGGCATATTTAACGTTTAAAATAATTTGGAATCGAGTATTTCGAGTATTTTCACGAGCGGCTCGTTTAACACAAACTCGAATTCGAATACGAACTTTGCTTAACAAACCGAACACAAACACAGGTTTGGAGTTCAAAAATTAACGAACAAACACGAACGTTGTTCGAATCGTTTAACGAACAAAATTCAAACATGAGATACTCGATTTGATTCGGTTCGTTGACAGCTCTAAGCATACTTCCCTATCCCTGGCCCTGTTTTCTAGTCGGGGCGGCCCACGCCCCGACCCATCAGCCCCAGCAGGCAGGCAGGCATTCGTCCAATTGTCATACCTAACCTGACCGAACCCGGATTAAACCCGAATAATTCCCCCGTTTCCGCCCAAGCTGCCCATTGATTTTCATTTTTCACCAAATACAAATTTTCACCACACACTGGGTTTAGGGTTTTAGCTTGCTCATCCCCCGAGGTTTTCTGGACGTCAGAATATGATTTTTCGCAGTCTTCTGCTCTCCAAGAATCTGAATCCCACAAGGTATTTACTCAAAGGTTCTCATTCCTTGACCAGAATTTCTAGTGTTGGTTCAGAATTTGTTCCATTAGTTAATTGCAATAGCATAGTAAAGTTCAGATTTTTATCCTACTTGCGTTCTTTAAATTCAGTTCCCTATGAAAAATGTGGGTTCTCCATTTCCAAGAACCCAAATTTTATAAGAAACTATTGCTCAGGAGGGGATAATAGTGGTGAGGAGTCAAATGAGTGGACTGGAGAAATAGATTATTTGGATGAATCAGGTGGTGTCATTTACTCTGGAAAGGGTGTAAGATCTGTTGAGCCGGGTATAGATGATCATGTGATGGTGGGAGGGTTAAAGAAGCCTATTTTGAATGCTTCAGCTGTGGCTAAGATTGTTGAGATAGTGAAAAGGTGGAAATGGGGTCCTGATATGGAGACCCAATTGGATAGGCTTCAGTTTTTGCCTAACATGACTCACATTATTCAGTCAATGAAGATTATTAGCGATGGTGAGGCTTCGTTGAGCTTGTTTCGGTGGGCCAAGAGGCAATCTTGGTATTGTCCGACTGACGAGTGTTATGCTGTGTTGTTTGATATGTTGAATGAGAGTAGGGATTATGATGGGATTCAATCAGTGTTTGATGATATGGTTCGTGATTCAGGTGAAAGTGGTATATCTTCATTTAGTGCGTATAATCGGGTTATTCAGTCATTAGCAAAGGCTGAGAAATTGGAGGTGACTTTCTGTTGTTTTAAGAAGATGAAAGAAGTTGGTTGTAAGGTTGATACACAGACGTATAATTCATTGATAACATTGTTTTTGGATAAGGGTTTGCCGTTTAAAGCTTTTGAGATATATGAGAATATGGAAGAAGTTGGGTGTTCCTTGGATGCATCAACTTACGAGTTGATGATTCCAAGTTTGGCTAAATCAGGCCGTCTTGATGCTGCTTTGAAGCTCTTCCAAGAGATGAAAGAAAAGAACTTCCGACCAGGTTTTGGGGTTTTTGCTGCACTTGTTGATTCAATGGGTAAAGCTGGTAGGCTGGACACGTCCATGAAAGTGTATGTGGAAATGCAAGGTTTTGGACTCAGGCCGTCTGCCACTACATTTGTTTCTATGATTGAGTCATTTGTTAAAGCTGGGAAGCTGGAGACTGCTCTCAAGCTATGGGATGAGATGAAGAAAGCCAGGTTTAGACCTAATTATGGGCTCTATACTATGATGGTTGAGTCCCACGCAAAATCTGGAAAGCTTGAGACTGCCATGTCTCTCTTTTCAGATATGGAAAGGGCTGGATTTTTTCCCACACCCTCTACCTATTCTTCTCTTTTGGAGATGCATGCTGCTTCTGGTCAAGTTGATGCTGCCATGAAGCTCTATAACTCTATGACAAATGCAGGTCTTAGACCAGGGCTCAGTACCTACACAGCCTTGCTGTCTCTCCTGGCAAAAAAGAAGCTTGTTGATGTAGCTGCAAAGGTTTTACTTGAAATGAAGGCCATGGGGTATTCTGTTGATGTGAATGCTAGTGATGTTCTTATGGTGTATATCAAGGATGGTTCTGTTGATCTAGCTTTGAGGTGGCTACGGTTTATGGGCTCATCTGGGATTCGCACAAACAATTTCATTATTAGGCAGCTCTTTGAGTCGTGTATGAAGAGTGGATTATATGAGTCGGCCAAGCCTCTTCTTGAAACATATGTGAATGCTGCTGCTAAGGTTGATCTTGTACTTTACACATCAATTCTTGCCTATCTTGTAAGATGCCAGGAAGAGCATAATGAGAGGCATTTGATGGCCATCTTGAGTGCTACGAAACATAAAGCTCATGCTTTCATGTGTGGTCTCTTCACAGGGCCAGAGCAGAGGAAGCAACCAGTTTTATCTTTTGTGAGGGAATTCTTTCAGGGAATCGATTATGAGTTAGAAGAAGGAGCTGCCAGGTACTTTGTCAATGTTCTTCTTAACTACCTTGTTCTGATGGGACAGATAAATCGTGCTCGTTGTGTATGGAAAGTTGCATATGAAAACAAGCTTTTTCCCAAGGCAATAGTGTTTGATCAACACATTGCCTGGTCCCTTGATGTTAGAAACTTGTCAGTTGGGGCTGCTCTTATAGCAGTGGTACACACCCTTCACAGGTTCAGGAAGAGGATGTTATACTATGCGGTCGTCCCAAGGCGGATCAAATTAGTAACTGGGCCAACTTTGAAGATTGTTATAGCTCAAATGTTAAGTTCTGTCGAGTCACCCTTTGAAGTTAGTAAAGTTGTTCTGAGAGCCCCAGGGGATTCCGTCCTGGAGTGGTTCAAGAAACCGATAGTTCAGCAATTCCTTCTGAATGAGATTCCATCAAGGGCTGATATTTTGATGCATAAACTGAACACACTTTTTCCTAGTTCTGCACCCGAAATTAGATCCCTATCCCCTCCAAAGCCTCTTCTTGCAGGGAAGGCTCTATAGTCATGGATAAGTTGTTAGCTTGGTCAGGCATCATTTGTTTGTAATATAGAATTATAAGTTACATTTTTGTTTGTTTAAAAAAGCACTTGACATCTACATAGAAAATCGCATGTTAGTGTACATGAGAAAATACCTTTAGAATTTCAACTTCAGCTTTTCAAAAATATCTTTGCAATAGAGGCTTCCTGGTTTCAGATTGGTGGCAGCTAGTTCATATACATAATAATTAACTGAGTAACATTTAATAGTTTAATCTGCAGACAGCAATTTTATTTTGCTTCACTTAGATGCTAAATTGTGTTCAGGGGTGATATTTGCATTAATACTGGTCATGCCTTATCACTCATTTACTTTGTTAATAAGACCAGCTCTTATCACTCATTTACTCCCGCCCTTACCTTTTTTCTCCTTATCTAAAGGCATATTTACCATGTTATGCTCTAGTTCTTAGTAATGCTCTCTAATCCCTAGTGAAACTACAAAGCACGTCTTTAAGCTCAACATACTTGATATGCACAGCTGATTATCAATGTATTTCCAGTAAGAGGCTTCTCTGAAAACAATGTCTGCTGCTGACCATCCCTATGTTTCCCACCTATGTTTCCCATCAAGGCTTCTTGGGAAAAATGTCTTTAAGCTCAACATACTTGATATGCACAACAGATTATCCACGTTTTTCCGCTAAGAGGTTTCTCTGGAAAAAATGTCTGCTGCTGACCATCCATATGATTTCCATTGAGGCTTCTTGGGAAAAATGTCCGGTCAGGAGGAAGTAAATCAGGTTAAGTAATTTTAAACTGCTGCTAGGAATCAGCAACAACTGCAATGCGAAGTACTTGGCAGTGGCAGGGCTGCTGACATGAGCCAGATTCCTCTTTTCTGCTGCCATCCGGTAAGATTTATCCCAGATTTTAGTTTTTCATGGACGCTATTCTATCTCGAAAGCCTCATTTACGCCTAGACTACTGAAACTGTAACTTTTTTCCTTGTGATTTACCAGACCATGATATGTATCAGGCTGTTAAAATTGGAAGTGTCGAGGATCACTTCCAAGTGACAAACAGGCACGAGTTGCAGTAGCCCAGACTATAGAAGATAATCAAAATTAAGAGTAGACAAAATTTGTGCTCCCTCTGTAAGTTGCATGCTGCTTCTGTTATCCACTGGTTTTACTTTACTTGTCTTCATCGACCAAGATAGGGTCTTGTACACATACCTAGATGATCACAGCATATACAGATACAATATATACAGTACACATAAAAGTTATCAGTTGCCTGTGTTCTCAGGTACCATTTGATCCACTGATGATCAAACACATTTTCAGGACATGGTCAATTCTGCTGAAAACGATAGGTTGGCTGGAAATTCAGATTTTACTCTTTGAGAGGAGGAGGACGTTTGGCTATAGGATTTCTTGACGAATGGTCCGTGTAACCTGGGTTGTTCAAAGTTCAAACTGGTTTATGGAACTTAGATATATACATTCCAAGAATAGGGGTGAATTATGTGATATTGGAAAAGTGAATTGCTATGATTTTCGTCATTTAATCCCATGTCATATTGCTGCTGAAAAGCAAGATTTTTGTACAACTTTACAGATGCAGGGCTAAGAGTCTGATTTACCTCCTTGTCTTGGCCTTCCACAGATAATAAACTCTGGCAGAAAGAGCAAGCCTTCTGTTGTCCCACAAAATTCTGCTGCAAAGCTTCCTGGGATAGCCAAGGCCCAAGGCAACTATGGATTCCAAAGATATGACTTCATTTGTGGAACCTTTCGTCAATCAGAATAAAGTTGAATTCTTTTCAAGAAGCAATGCATTCTATTCTTTCCCATCCAACATGATTTTAAACTTCAATATGAAAAACTAGTATTGCATTACATTCTTTAACCACTCCTGCCCATAAAAAACAATTTAAGGTCAGGTAAAGAATGAAGTATCTATTAGAAAAAGAGGCTTAAAACTAAAATAAAGAAAAAAAAGGAATGAAGAATCAACCTCATTTGAGCCAATGCAGTTTTGATTTATCTCACTTCCCTCCCTCAAAAAATGTTGTGGCATGTAACTATCCCTTCATTGCTCAGTGGCCACCAAAAAGGGACTAAAGTCCCTCTTTAGATTGTAGGTCAGAGGTTAGAACTCTATCTGTAGTAAAAACAATTCAAAGGAGGTGTCAGAACACCCTTTTGGTGTAGCAGGTTCTTATTTCTATTAGCTCTTTATACATAATCTCTTTAGGCTCTCCTCCTCTTAGATTAGGATAGACTAGATTATAAAAATGTTATCAAAAAGGGACTTCTTTGGACTGTAGGTCAGGGTTTGAACCTTACATGTTTTGAAAAAAATTCAAAGGAGGTGTCAGAACACCCCTTTAATCTAGTAGATTCTTATATCTATTAGTCCTTATACATAATCTCTTCAGGCTCCACTCCTAGATTAGGAAAGATTAGATTATAGAAATGTTACGGTTGCCATAAAAAAAAATGTAACTACCCTTTCATTTTCTCCAACTATTCACATAAACTTCCATTTCATATATTCTGTCCACAATTGCTTAAAAACAATTAATGTACTTTAGTGCTATATTTTAGTATTCGATTTGCTAGGAGACAGATTGGTCAAGTAATCGTGCGAGTTAAATTTATAATTCACGTGATTGTCTTTTGTCATAGGGACTAATCACAATAGGTAGAAATTCAAAGTCTAATTGGCATATTCTTGAGCATAACACAATAGATAGAATTTTGCAAATTTGTTATTTTTAGTACACATTTATCGTGCCAATCATGCGGATTTCTGTCGTGCTGGTCCATTTCTAATAATTTCGTTAATGAAATTCACTTTTTATATAAAAAAATATTGAATTTATCTTATGGAAAGCCAGACTTCCTCCTCAAAAAAAAAAAAAAAAAAAAAGTCTTTCGCAAGAAGAGGGGAATATATGCCATTTCATAGAACCAAAAGAACTAAAAAAAATAGTAATTGAAAATTACTATCTTTGAAAAATACATACTCTCTTTATTACTACAATTATGCAAAGAGACATCGGGAAATAACAATTCCCATACCAACAATATTGTTTGAAAACAAGGCAGTATTTGCTATTGGCATTTTCTTTGATTTTTTTTTTTTAATTACGCGAACGACAAATATAAGGCTGTATCTCACGTCTATTACAATGACCTAAATTTCTATCAAGTTCTAATTTGAATGATATTCAATAGTATTTATGTCTTTTTACATGATGAAGAAAATCCAAAGTGCCAATATCAAGCCCCTTATGTAAAAATACACTGTAGTCTTGCCAAAAAGAGAAAAAGAAAACTTGGCCATTAAATTCACAAAGAACAAGGAAAAAAAAAAAGAGAATGCTCTTTTAGTTAGTACAAAAGAACAAGCAAAAAAAAAAAAGAGGAAAGAATAACAAGAACTTATAACAAATCGCTCAAAAATGAAAAAAAGAACTTACAACAAATCAGATTAAAGGTACGTTTGCTAAAATTGAAATCTAAAAATTATTAAATTATTAAATATTAAAATTTTAATATTTGAACGTATTTAATATTAAGTCATGAGTGACCAGTTTATCATTTTTTTAGAACAAATTTTACTTAAACAATTCAGACCAGTTAACTAATTAATATATTCTATTTTTTGTTACAAAATACGTCTCAACATATTAAGGCCGAAATATATTAAATTTAGTTTAAATAAAATATTAAATTGAATTATTAAATCAGGCCTAATCCTTTTTATTGGGGTTATTATTGAATTTAACAAGATTAATGATTCCCTCCCAAAATCTGGAATCGTCCTTTTCATTGACTGTCATAACTAACTACCCATTGGCACCAAAGTCTTCAGAACTCTCCAGACTCCATCTTGTTCACCACACTCTAACAATAGATCCCTTAATATTTATCCAGTCCTAGAACTCTCTAGACCTCCCCAACTCAATTAAACTCCTAGTATTTAAATTCTGAAAGATCCAAAACCCTTTGTCTGAGGAACAGTATTCAGCCTTCAGTTGTCTCTTGCATTTTCTTGCTACCTAGTACTCTGGTAATTTGAAATCTTCTACCACATTTTTACAAGAAATGGATGATGATTTTGATTTTCCATCAGCTAGCAATGCTGCTGATGAGATGGGGATGGATGAGGAATTGGACTTGCCTGAGACCAACCCAGTAATTAAAGTTGGGGAAGAGAAGGAAATTGGGAAGAATGGGTTGAAAAAGAAGCTGATTAATGAAGGTGAAGGCTGGGAGAATCCCAGTTCTGGGGATGAAGTTGAAGGTAAGGTTATCAGCTGTTTTGGCTCATTAAATCCTATTGTAGTTGAAATTAGTCATATTCATCTGCCCATTAATCAATTTTTATCTAGATTGTTAATGGGTTGACTTTCATTTTGGCTTGATTATGCTGCATGATTCTCAAAGTTGGGATCTTTATGGTGTATAAGACCCCAATTGGGGTTATTTGGACCGTTTCTGGAAAAGGGTTCTTCTTAAAGTTTGAATGAATTGAAGAGTTTGTCATGTAAACTGCTTAGAAATTAAGATAATTTTATTAAGTGTGAGGAACCTCAATCAACAGTTTGGTATTGCTTTTGACGAAATGGGCATTACTTCTTGTTCTCAGTTAGGTGTTGGCTATTTGATGAATGAAATGATTTTTTGATTTGAGGGAGTTTCATCCACTGTATCATGCTGATAATGTTTTTTTATTTTATTTTATGGTTTAATGTTGATTGTGCAGTGCATTATGTGGGCACTCTGCTTGATGGAACTCAATTTGATTCGAGCCGTGACAGGGGAACTCCATTCAAGTTCAAGCTTGGCCAAGGTAATGACTAGCTAAGTTCGGTTGAAGTTCAAGGATCAGTAGTAATTTGAAGTTTAATATGACAGTTGTTTAGTCTTTTCATCCCTGCTGACAATGCAATTTGCCCTGTTTTAATCAGGTCTTAGTTTGTCCAGTTTGGATTATTGGACAGTACAAGAAGATAAAAGAACACTCTTACATTTTAGGCAATTACCAGCCTGCCAGCAAATATGTTGTTAACAAACATCTGGAGTAGGTCTATAATTGAAAAGGCTTCTATTTGATTGTGGCATTTTGATTTTTACCTAATGCAGGACAAGTTATCAAAGGTTGGGATGAGGGTATTAAGACAATGAAAAAGGGTGAGAAGGCCCTCTTCACCATCCCTCCTGAGTTGGCCTATGGGGAGTCTGGATCACCTCCAACAATACCTCCTAATGCCACTCTGCAGTTTGAAGTTGAGTTGCTTTCTTGGACTAGTGTGAAAGATATATGCAAAGATGGTGGAATATTCAAGAAAGTACTTGTTGAAGGAGAGGGTTGGCAGAATCCTAAAGATCTTGATGAAGTTTTTGGTGCGTCAATCATCTATCATTTCTGTTATAATTGTTTTCATGGCTTTCATTGGATGACCTTGGGTTATTAAATTTGCTAAATGTTCTCCTTCTCTTGCAGTCAAATATGAGGCACTGCTTGAGGATGGAACTCTTATTTCCAAATCGGATGGAGTTGAGTTCACTGTGAAAGATGGTAATATGTTGTCCTCATTAACCTTGTTCTTTCTCCAGTTTTCCGGGGACGCTTGTAAAAGTTTGATCTGCTTGCAGGTTTCTTCTGTCCTGCTTTAGCAAAAGCTGTTAAAACAATGAAGAAGGGTGAAAAAGCTCTCTTAACTGTCAATTCACAATGTAAGTTAGCTTTCTGCGTCCTGGATTGGCTTGCAATTTGTCCTTTGGGTTGCTGACTGTTGGTTATTGCAGATGTGTTTGGAGAGAAGGGAAGGCCTCAAGTTGGTGATGAAATTAGTGTTCCACCGAATGCTTCACTTCAAATTAATCTTGAATTGGTTTCATGGAAAACTGTGTCCGATGTTACCAATGACAAAAAAGTGTTGAAGAAGATCCTGAAGGAGGGAGAAGGATATGAGCGCCCAAATGATGGCACAGTTGTGAAAGGTAAACTGCAGAGCAAAAATGTAAACTCTTTGCAGTGATCCACCATTGGAATTTTCATTCTAAATTATCTTTTAGTGTTTGGCAGTGAAATTGACCGGAAAGCTGCAGGACGGAACTGTTTTTGTAAAAAAGGGACATGATGGAGAAGAATTTGAGTTCAAGGTAGATGAAGGTAATTGGTCATTCACCTAATGCAACCTACAACTTATAAGGCTCTAGCTGCCTTTAATATTTCATACGGTACTATTTTACTATTTTTCCCTCCTATCAGCAAACAATATGTGGGCATGTATTGTATCCTCTTCTACTTGTTCAGTTGTGTTGAACTTACCTTTTGCTGTCTTCTGCAGAACAAGTCACTGAAGGACTTGATAGAGCTGTAAAAACAATGAAAAATGGTGAAATGGCTCTTGTAATTGTTCAACCCGAATATGCTTTTGGTCCATCTGAGTCACAACAAGAGCTGGCTGTTGTTCCTGCAGATTCAACCCTATACTATGAGATTGAGATGGTCTCCTTTGTCAAGGTGAGTGAGCACTTTTCTCTGCACACAAAGATGTTTGCCTTTCAAGCATCTGGATGAGGTTTTGACTATTGTTACATTTACTGCTTACCATAGGAGAAGGAATCTTGGGACATGAATGCCCAAGAGAAAATTGAGGCTGCTGGGAAGAAAAAGGAGGAAGGGAACGTATGGTTCAAGGCAGGAAAATATGCGAGAGCCTCTAAGAGATATGAGAAGGTGCTGCACACTTCTGCAAAAAAATTTAAATCTCCTGTCCATGATTTTTATTTCAAATGTCCATAAA